TGAAGAGTTTACAGTCACATACCATGATATCCTTAGCAGCTGTAGTAAACACTTGACACCTGCAAAGACTGCAGGGCAAACACACATTTTGCTTTTCATGACTCAGACCTAGGGAGACGCAAAATGCTGTGACATGTCTTAGGGCTGTTAGAAATGGAGCAACCAACACACCACAAAAAGCTGACAGAGGATAGAAGATCTGGTCCAAGATCACTGTGACACAAAAATGACCACTATTGCTCTAGACAGTCAACACCAAGGGCAACCCAAACCATGTCCAATGCTGCTGTGACAGTCATCCCTCCTGTTCCCTTGAAACAGCCAATGTTATCTGGCAGCATGACCCTATTGTAACTCCTGGACCAGCCCCAATGTCACAACCCCTTAATTTGGGAAGTAATGTAGAAGTGGGAAAAGCATGTCACCTTATCGGACACCTTATTGACATTTTGGCTTCCCTTTTCCTTCATGGTGTGACAATGAGTGGCATTTACAGCTTGACTCAGTTGTTTACCTTGGAGACATGTGCCCTTTTGGCATGCCTTGATGTGGACCACGTGGCCTTCAGCTCCCGCTTGGTGTCTCTGGAGATCCTGGGGCACATTTACCTACCGCGTAAGTCTATCCTCTCCCCGTGGACTCCTGATGAGAAGTCAGGGTCTCCAGGACTCAAGGGACCATTTCCAGTATGTGGGGAAACAGGAGCTCTTTCCATAGACCTACCTCCTGAATTAATCACTGTTTGAAAAATAATACCCCACAACATGAGTTTAGTCCCAGACTTTTCCACAGAAATTCCACAAGTGCAGTGAGTCACTGCCTCACACTCTGCTGTGGAAACAAATACCCTTGATAAACCAACTGTGATCGAACACTGTAGGAACAAGGGCCCCATTGTTATTTGGACAGATGTCCCCTGTTTGTGCAGTGGGTACTTGACTCCAGATTTTGTTTAAGATAAAAACATACACAAGACATTGGAGCTTCCCCTGGTTTCTGGGAATTTCTTGCTCTTCCCCAACTTCCACAGTAGCCATCAATGCTACATAAGCTGCATCTCCTTGCAGCTTATCCAAGGGCTTCTACCCAGGTCCAGCCCACAGTGAGCATGCTGCCAGCTCAGGTAGGAAAACGTCAGGGTTTTCCTCCGTTATTGAAATCAAAGCCCACAGATATTTTGCCATAGCTACAAAAACATTATTTTACCGCTTTCATTCTTCAGTACCCTCTTTCATTAGAACAATGCAGGTGAGTAACAGCAGCGGAACAAGTTCGTCCACTTGATAAACTAATCTGCAGATAAGACACTGAAGGACTTAGATCAGTGCAGGAGGAAATAATGAGTGCTACGTGATGAATGTACCAGGAAGTATCTCCTCTTGAAATGCCTTGTGAGTTTTCTGCAGTGGCATCTCTGGTCAGTCTCGCACTTGAAAACTGAGTGCAGGCTCTAGAGGCAACTTGTTTTCTGAGCAGTAATAACTAATGATACAAGCTAATTATTCAGCTAATTATGCAAGCTCCTGTATCTTGATTTCCCTTTGAGAGAGCAGCCTGGGCTGCAGTAGAAAGCAGAGGACTTTTAAGATGGATCTAATTAGAAGATCTTCTTTTTGAATCACCTAAGAAGGTAAACCATATATCTCTGGGTATCTTCTTTATTTTCTAAAACATATGCAATGGTAACTATTGTGCTGGGTGGATTTGCAAGAGAGGGTGTAATTATTGTGCAACGTTTATGAAAAAGATAAACTCACCAAAAAAATAAAAAGAGGGTCATGTAAATCACCTGTGTCCTGGGTTAAAGTGAGCCCTTGCTATTTACCACTAGGAACCTCCTGCACTTTGGAGTTAAACAACGTTTTTCAGTCTGAATGCTGTGGAGAAGAGATTTAGTAGCAAACATGGGTTTCTTTAGCTCTCTGGGGCATTATAAGTTGAAGATACTTACTGCCTTCTGGGAGACAGTTTGTATGAGAAATGACATATGTGTCCACATAGCTTCTGAAGATAGACAGATTCTTGAGAAATTGCTTGCTGAAAAATTTACAGCAATTCTTTTTCCAAGGAGGCATTAAAAGAACAAGGGGAACAGACCATTACCTGAGAAGGACATTAGTATTTTTCACATTTGCAATTTTATATATTTTTTTAATAGTATTCTGGCTTTCTAGATACTGGTTTGGGATTTTTGGACTTTTTCTTAGCTATCTAAGTCTGAGTAGCAGAATGGTTCTCACTTGCATGAGTTGTCCTCTAGATGGTTTCTTATGTATGCAATTAACGGAGCATTTAGTCTCAGCTACACGGTTGCACAAAGGATCTATTTGAAAGTAGAGGCTGACCCACAACATTTGAATATGGATGCAAGTTTGTGAACAGTCCAAAATATAAATGCAAAAGTGTACCAGATGATGTTTAACCTCATCATAAACTTTGTTTAATGACCTTTTTTCCTTTCTATTAAGTTTTATCAGCCCATTACCAATGAAATACAAGTTCTTTGTACAGATTAAGCTATTGTACCATATGCTGTAAGCATAAGATGCATACACAAAACTATCAGAAATCTTTGGGGTTTTTTTGTTAGTGCTTCTACTTTTAAGTCATGTCACTATTTCAAGGACTTGTGTCATAGCTTACAACTTGGCAATATTTCTGCTTTGATCCATTTTGATCCATCTTGGTGTTTGGATCTGACAGATCCGTGGAGGTGTTGAGGCTGTCACAAGTGGATGATGTCTTCAAAACAGCAAAGTAGTCTCTTTTGTAGAATGCTGGATATATGGATGGACATGCCCAGGAAACTGAACAGACACTTCCTTTTCCCTTCCTTTTATTTTTTTTTCTTTCAATTCTGCCAGCCATTCATCCATTGGATAAAAAAGCCTGTAATAGTCCTTTCTAATGGATACTGAGGTGAGGTGGGAAGATATTCTGAATCAATGACATATCTTGTTTTCTGGTTATTCCTATGTAGGAGCATAAGAGCAGCCATACTGGATCAGCTTAATTGTCTAGAGAGCACAGTTTTCTGTTGTGGGTTGTTGGATTTTTTTCCTCTGTTGCTACCTTAGGAAATCTTAAAATTAATTTTCCTTCTTTAATAGCATCTCAGAGTTCAGTTGACATTTCCTCAGGTCCCATTTCTGAGTGGTAATAGACAGTTCAGAGTCCACAAGAGAATACATAATGTCGGGATGGTTTCTTTCTACCTTACACTTATCAGTGCTGAATTTCATGAATTGCATGGCCCAGTCACTCAGTATCCTCCCATATGTATGCAGATCTCCATAGGCAGACTTTGTTTTTGTTAGTCTCAATCATTTAAAGTTGTCTACAGCATTGTATCACTAATCACTGCCTTTTCCACATCACTTGAGAACAGAGAGCAAGACGCTTGCTTACACGCACACTCCTGTGGATCTCTGGTGATGATATCTCTATTGGAAAAGCAAATAAATTCTTCTTGCTTTTGTCTCCTATCTTTTAACCAGGTCAGTATCCAGGTGAAATCTGACTGCAGATGAATCTCTCCAAGAATACCTTGGGTGAGAAACCCTGACACATCCCTGCTGGATATCAACGTTGGTGACATCAAGTATATTGCTTGGCTATAAGCTCGCTGCTGTCCTCTATCCATTCACAAGGTAAGACCACAGATGATGTTCAAATTATAATTTTCTGTCATAGGCTCTTTTTATTAGGAAAGTCACTGTGAAGCCGCCTGTCTACTTGAGAGCACCAGCAGTGATGTGCCATATGGTGGCAATAAGCAGCCATTGACAACATTCATTATAATCTCAGGAGGTGTTGATTTTTCTGCTTTCACCTGGTGATTCATGGCCTTTCAAAGCCTGAGTTTGTATGAACAGCCTTTTCAATACAAAGAGATCATAATTTGACAAAAGCTCATTATTTTAATCAAGTTGATTTTATCCGCTCAGGTACTGTTCGGTACTATTCTTAGGAGTCTTTTCTCAGTGCTTTCCTACCTTAAAATAATTTTCACAGTCTGCATGGGTTGTGCCTTTTCCTGTAGCTCTCTACTCGGTGCTAATTCTGGAGATAGAGAAGTGCTTTGTTAGGAATAATCAGAAAGTGTCTATTCACAGCAAAATGCATATTTTTACATATTCTTCAGCTCCTTTTATTCCTTCTGGTTGCAGCGAATGTGTCATCACCTGCTATAAGGGTCCATGCATCTTTGGTATCTCCCTGTATATTTCATCATCCAGTCTACTGCATGGATAAATTAGCTTTGGTATTAATGAGTTGGAAAATGTTTGATTTCAGGCAGCACATTATATTCTGGTGTGTCAGTATTCTTCTGTTCTAGGTTATTTGCTTGTTAACATCAGTGCGGTTAATGGAGATGTATACTAAAAACTCAAATTTGCACAGAAAAGATAAATTCTTCATTGTTTGCTTTGTTATCCAAGGGGTAACAAACAGACAGACATCTCTGGCCGAGCTCATGATGTTACCACAGCCCTCTCCATGGAGGGACAAGGCCGGTAGCAAAGCTCTTCCTGCTGCAACGGGACAGGCCCTCACTTACAGCAACATCTTTAACTATTTCCTCATGTTCTGGCTCTGTGTTTGCCAAGCACCACTGTGAAAAACATTTGAAGATCCAAAATCAACTTTTCTCATGGTAAATGAATTTCTAGCACTTCACTTGTCCCTGTTAGGAATCTGCTTAGGACTCTGCATTCTCCAAGTGATTTATTTCTCCCTCTGTTTTGACAAGGTACAGCCAACATGAAAAGAAGGACACATGAGGAAAACATTCTGGTGACAGTGGCATAGGAATAATTGCAGACCTTCACTGATGTTCTGTCTTGGATGGCGTGAACAGGCAGAGTGTGCTGAAAAATGCTGAGCATAGTGTTTTTGTAGAGTGCACTGGTATTTCCTGCTGTGTGAGTCAGCTGAAAATTCCCTGATCCTTTTGCTTCATTTTCTTTCCAGGCTGTACAGCAAAGTCACTGGACAAAATGCCATCCCCAATTACTGCAGGTCTCCACTGCCTATTTCTACTGGTCACAGCGTGTTGCCAGACATCACAGGACTCAGGCTTTGATCCATTCATGCAATATGTAGTGAGTATCCTTTCCCAGCCCCATTGGTTTTCATTTGGTCACTGCTTGTAGCTGTGATAGCTCTCCTTTACATCAGCAAAAGCTTAGACAAAGTCAGTGTAAGATCAGATGGGGAAAATGAACCCAAAGTGTAAAAGAAATGGAGAAATCCAGAAACTGGACTCTTCTTGCTTCCCAGTCTTAAAGCCTCTCCAGAAGAAACCGAGCAAAACTTCTTGTTTCTCACTTGCGTTAGTCTGCAAGGGATTTAAATTGCTGCTCCCGTGGCTAAGCTTAGGTAACAGTTATATGGGCACTGTGCCTGGATGACATTCACCCATCCTATGAGAGAGGGAAACCAAACAAGTCTTGCCTAAGAAGTGGTGTGTCAACAAAGCCAGCTCAGGCACAGAGGTGCTCACAGGTAGGTGACAAGAGTGTCACCACTGTCTTGACAGTAGGACGTGAGTACACGTGACCAAAATGCCACTCCTGGGTGACTTGTGTTTAAATGTTGTGCTTGGACTCGGACTTCACTTCAGTTTCCTGCTCTTTCAATAATTCTCACATACCTCTTTTGTTTCATCAATAATGTGAATTATGGAAAGCTGTTTTGTGCTTCTTCCTGTATATGGGTTTGTTAACAGACAGTTTCTGCACAAATAGTCGCTAACTAGAAAGGACAAAAGAGGAAGAGTGAAAGGCCTGGACGCCTTCCTGTGTAACCTCATCTAGGTGTTCCTGCTCCGGCAGGGGGATTGGACTGGATGATCTTTTGAGGTCCCTTCCAATCCCTAACGGTCTGTGATTCTGTGATTCTGTGATTCTGTGAACGGACTGACCAAACGGAAGTTAAGACAGTCTAGTAAAGAAAACCAGTCTACAGTCTACCACCTCTTGGTCTATCACAATTATTATTAGAGCAGAAAATACTTACTTTCACACCGAATCACAGAATGGTAGAGGTTGGAAGGGACCTCTGGAGATCATCTTGTCTTCTGCATTATGAACCCTATCAAGCCACAATGGAATCTAGCATTTACGTTCAGCACTTGGCACCACAGGGACCATAGTGTCACAATGTAGCACAATGTGCTTTTTTGAGTAGGTTGAAAATGGGAAAGGAGTCATGAAGAGGAAGGTGGGAGCTCTTTAAGCTGTTTCTGCCCCTGTCTTGGCAAACCAATATACAACTGGTTCCAGCAGCCTCATCTGCCCTTCAGCAGATGTCTAATAGTGACCAAGTTTCTTGTTTGATCTGTTTTTTGATCTTGTTTGATCTGTTTTTTTCAAACCGTGTCCACCTCAACATAGGTATTTTCATTAAAAGACTAATACCTCATTTTTTAGCATTATTGATCCATGGTACACCCTGCAAATGAGTCATTATTTAATGATGTGAAATATGTGAAGTATTTAACAACATAGCAATACCCTGAAGTTTTGGGAGAGAATAATTAAAAAAGAAACCACTGAGTCTGAAACTGGAGGAAGACGTGGATCACAGCGGGCTTTCTATAACTCTCGCAGCAAACCTCTAAGGTAAAAGGCAGTGATCCTAGCAGTGCAAAAACACCAACGGACATTGGGATCGTCACTGCCAGCGCAGCTGTGATATGAAGCCCAGCTCTAATCACACACCGGATGGTTCCTTTATGTAAAGAGATGACTTAAGAGTTGCCAAGCTATTCACCCTTTCTGTAAATAAAGATTTCAGCGGGACTCAAGAAACTGGCAAAGCTGCAAACTTCCTGCCTGTGTCTTTGCTTGTTCTTTAGCCTTTCTTGCTAACTGTGGTGCCAGTGTATTTTTAGGGCATAATTAAAAAAATAAGATGGTCTGCATCTCACTTGGCTGCACCCTGCGTGAACTCAGTCTTACTGAAATTGTGCCACCATTGCCCTGGTCAACCATGTGCTACTGATAGTCCACTAAATAGCTGACCTGACACCTGAGCTGGAGCCAAGACATTTCCATCCCCTTTCTACTCCTACATGGGCTGGCTTTGCTTTGCAGAGCTGGAAGCTCAGAGCAAGGAGGAAAGCAAAGGCTAATGAGTCCGTTTTCTGGATTCAGAGATTGAATGGCCAGGTCTCCCAAGCAGTTCAGAAGGCTGGCCCAGGACTAAGGGCACTGCATCAGCCCCATAGCCAGTTTGCAGCTCACACACAGAATTCCTGCCAAGCTTAGACACTTGCCTTGCAGAGATATGCAAAGAGGTACCTGCAAACTCAGTACATCCCTCAGCTGGTGTTTAACATTTCCCTGCTTGGAAGATATAAATATTCTGTTGAAAGAGGAAAAGGGGAGCAGGGAGAGGCAAAGATTGATGGAAGGGAAAAAAAATTACCTATACTGGTATTTTCCTCACTAATTCCTTCATGCCAACCACAGCAGTTAAAGCTTAACTTTGGTTTTTCACAGACATTAACTGTCTTTTCTCCACAGGTTGGCAGTGCGCTTGGAGAGGAAAGCTTCGAACCAGAGATGCAAAGGCAGAAGCGAAACAGTAAGTACATAAATCACAGAATGTATGGTAATAGAGCAGGTTTCTGGTAAGCCAAGGGTAAAATAGCTATTGGGGACAGCATCTCTTGAGGTCATGGGATCATCAAGGATTGTGTAGTTGTGGTTCAACCCCAGCCAGTGGCTAAGCACCACACAGCTGTTCACTCACTCTGCCACAGTGGGATGGGGAGAGAACTGAAAGGCTAAAGTGAGAAAACTCATGGGTTGAGATAAAGACATTTTAATAGGTAATGTAAAGGCTGCATGCGCAAGCAAAGCAAAATAAAGAATTCATTCACTAATTCCCAGAGGCAGGCAGGTGTTTAGAGCCATTTCCAGGAAAGGAGGGCTCCATCACGGGTAGCTGTTACTTGGGAAGACAGATGCTGTAACTCCAAATGTACTCCGCTTCCTTCTTCCCCCAGCTTTTCTTGCTGAGCATGACATCATATGATATGGACATCAGTTGTGTGACACCATATTGGTCAGTTGGGGGCAATTGTGTCCCCTTCCAGCTTCTTCTGCATCTCCAGATTACTTGCTGGGAGGACAGAGTGGGAAAAAGAGACAGTCGCAATGCTGTGTAAACACTGCTCAGCAATAACTAAAACATGGTGTTATCAACACTGAGTTAATCACAAATCCAAGACATAAACCCATACGAGCTACTATGAAGAAATTTAACTCTGTCCCAGCCAAAACCAGCACAGTAGTGAAGGCACAGATGAAAGAGGTAGAAACGTCTGTCCGGTCAGAGATTGATATGTGTAAGCTCAGCTACTATGCAAGATGAAATACAAGGTGTAGGAAGAACCCCACAGCCTCCCAGTAGGACAGGGATCACAAGATAATCCTATGGTTGAAAACCCATCCACTTGCTGAGTCAAAGAAGTGAAAGGATAAGACAGATTTTTCTCTGTATATATCATGCCATTTATACCACTTTCCTATTGCTCTGAGACCAGAAAAATCTGGCTTTTGTCAGTCAAGCAACAGATAAAACACACACAGAATATCTGCTGAGTAGCAAACGAGAAGATTTCTTAAGCAGAATGCCACACTAAGTGGCATTAAGTAGCAATAGATGCCATTAAATAGCAACAGACACCATTAAATAACATCAGGTACCATTAAATAGCAACAGAGCCCAAATGCCAAAATGGAAGCCATCAATTTAGGATTTACCCTCACACATGCCATCTTATGCTACTTCTCTTTCAGTGCTTGTTTTTGACATTCCACCTCTGGAGTACACCATTGACATTGAAGTAAGTCTTACGGATTCAGCTTTTCTGGAGCCAGTCAAAGAGTATTTTAAAAACCTTAATCTTCCAGTTTCAACAAATATTTCAAATGTTGAGATGACAGTTTCAAGGATCAACGTTACAACAGGTGGGTTGGTTATTTACTTTTATGTTCTCTGGGTGACATGCTTTTTTGCCTGTAGTTGATCTCTCTCCCAGTTTTACCTTCCTTCTTTTTATCCCAGTTTTAGCCTCCTCACTTAGAAATCAGAAAAACTGAGCTGTCTTTGCTGCCTACTGAAAGACCCAATAAAAATGAAGCTCTAGCACACAACAGCATGTTTTGTTATCTGCATCCCACCACTCCTCTTCACATAATGTTGGCATTAGGAATAGCCCTGAATGCTTTGCTTTTTCTAAGGAAGGGACAAAGTCAGAGGAAGCCTGAGCCAAAGGATTTTGCTCCAGTTTGACTAACAAGCAGCCTGAGTTACTTTCAAGTTTCAGGAAGCTGTGACAGTGGTTTTCAGACTGTTTACTTCCCTCCACTTGCATTTCGAACGTAAATGGCTGTAAGAGGCTGTACTCTGACCCTGACAAAATGAGATGCAGTCTTTTCCTGATATAGTTCACTAAACGTATTCTTACAGGGCAAGATATCAGACAGGTTTTATTACGTGACCTGTGGTTGTGCAACATCTCATCTAAGTAATGAATACAGCAGAGGACATACAAACACACTGAGCATTTATAACAGTAGAGGAGGAGATTTGGTACCTTTTATCACTGGCCCATAAAGCAGTGAAAGGAAGGGTTCATCGGTTCTCAAAATAACATGCAAACGGATCTTTTCAAGGCTTTCAGGGTCACATACAAAGTGTGAAAATCACTTTGTTAATATCTTACTTTGCCAATGGCACATTAAGAGCAGCAACACTTACAGTGAAGTGTTTTGGCTTTTTATTTTTTAATTAGAATATATGTCTTTAAAGCACTTTTTGATAATATTACCTTCTATCATGCAGTGTCTGTCAGGATATGGCCAGAATAACACAGCACCCCACAAGCCACGGGGACTTTGAGTGACCACTACATGCTCTTACAATCTTTAAAAGGCTTTAATTTGCTTTCAGCCGAGGCAATACAGCAATATCCAATCTGAAAACCATCATAGGATGCTAGCCAATATGCCAGATAAAATTTTTAAGAAGAGGCTTCACATCTCCATTCAATTACTTAAAAGTAATTGAACAGACTTGTCTTTGTACCAGTCTGGTTCCCATTTCTGATTAGTCATTTATAATTAATATAGAAAGATTTGTATGGCAGCAGATCTTCATGCTTGCATCATTCAAGTGAACTCACAAGAAGGTCAACATTTAGTTGAGATCATTGGGGTAAAGGTACAGCAAGGAAAATATGTATCATGCAATATGTTAAGCCCTGTTTACCATTCTCACAGTATTTTTCTGTCTGTCTGACATCAGTCTGTCTGCCCAGTGGTGAGAACAGTAGCTGTTGTTCTTGTGAAAGTGGATATGCCTGGCCAAGTGCAGTGTGCGGTGACTTGATAACCTGCCCTTCTGTCGGCCTGCCCTGCGGCTACGTGAAGGAAATGCCTTTCTATGGGCCTTACTGTGAGCCTCAGACCGAAGGTAAGGAGAAACAGTGCTGAACTTCATCGTTGTACAACTCATATACCAGTTAGGAGATGGAATAATGTCAAAGGTGTGATAAAGCAGTACATCAGGACTGAGCAGGCTACTTCATTGCCTATGAATGTGGAAAGTCTGTAGAGATGCTCTAGAGCTCTTCCTTTTGTGATGTGAGCCCACCATGACCCAAGTACTTGGAGATATTTAGTGCCATACTGAAGCCCCAGCTCCTGGAATCACGTACATGCCTCTTTGGTACTTTCAGCTTCCACTAAGCAAAGAAAGTTTCATCTCATCAGATTTTCAACAGAGAAACATACAAATGTGATCAAAATAAACAGAAGGCCAGAAAATCTCTGCTATGAAGAAAAGGCTGAGAGAGCTGGGGTTGGTCAGCCTGGAGAAGAGAAGGCTCCAGGGAGACCTTACTGTGGCCTTTCCGTACTTAAAGGGAGCTTATAATAGGACAAGGAGCAGTGGTTAAACTGAAAGAGTGCAGGTTTAAATTGGACATAAGGAAGACATTTTTTATTATGAGGATGTTGAGACGCTGGAACAGGTTGCCGAGACAAGCTGAGGATGCTCCATCATTGGAAGTGTTCAAGGTCGGGTGGAACCCATGCCTCTCGTGGCAGGGAGGTTGGACTAAGTGGTCTTTAAAGGTCCTTTACAACCTAAACCATTGTATGAACCTAAGATTCTGTGATTAAAGTTATAGGAAAAAGCTATGGAATCACTTTGTAAGCATTGCTTTTCATTTTTTTACGTTATTTTAATGTTTTTCTTTACAGACTCATGTGGTATGGGAGAGCCCATTGTCATGAAAATGTCAGTCAGACTTGACACAGTCTTTTGGAGTGATCTCGGGGATTCTTCTTCTGAATTATACAAAAAATACAAAGCTGACCTTGAAAAAGCGGTAATGACTTTAGTTTTCCATCTCTGAAGGTAGAAAGCCATCTAAGAAACATAGTATTTACCCTAAATATCTGGGAAATAGGGTGCACTGTCACTGTCTCTGTGGGGAGCTGTGAAGTATGGAGCAACAGAGTTGACCTCATTTGAAAGGCAATGACAATATTTCCATTCGTTTTAATATGCTGGTTGACAGGGAAGTATTTAGGAATTTTTTGCATCAAAAGCATGAAAAAAAAAAGCACATTACTGGTCCTAACTTAAATCCACATAGGAGAACACAGAATCAAACCATCAACACAAATTTATCCCATGACTGTGGGGAGAGCACCAGACCTGATCTATCAGATATGCAGCATGCTCTTACTCACATCAGTGTTGAATGGAGAGTTTCCTATTTTAAGCATGCTTGAATAATATACAGAGGACTTATGAAATGTGATATGTCTTTGTTTACAGTTTAATGCTAGCTACGGATGTTTACCAGGCTTTGTGTCAGCCACAGTGACTGGTTTCAGGTAAGTAAACTATTTCCTTTTTTCCTGGAAGACACAAATCTTTCTGTCTGGTCTCAAGGAGACATTGGTCAGAAAAGACTACATTCTCTCTGGCTAGAACCCACATTCAGTACCTAGATACTGAATAATAGTATAATAGCTGGAAAGGAAAGCCCAACTATTAGCATGGAAATAAGACTAAGGGTAAAATTCAATACTGTGCAAAAGTCCAAGAAACATAATCATTCTCCATCTGGATCAAAGCCTTTCGTGGGAAAGACTGAATTCCACCCAAAAGGGGAAAAGGACGTAAATAAACCCAGCATTACCTCCCAGGTGATCAGGAAGGTGAATTAGTACATTGACTCTAGATGAAAGAGACATTACTTAAGTCTGCACATATTTAAACACAGCTGTATTTTAGGTTTTCGAAGGAATGTTTACTAGAAATAGACAGCAGATGAAGGAGATATCACATAAAGGTGTTCTTACTTTGGGAAGGGCTGTAGCACAACCTTCTTGTGTACCAGAGCCAGTCCTGAATCACAACAGGGACCTTCACAGGGGAGCCCTGTGGAGCCTTCCTAGCCATGCAAGATGGGTCACCACAACATAGAAAACCACTAATATGCAAGGTTATTTAATTCCAATGCTTCTCTCATTCTTGGATCTGTTTAGACCTGGAAGTGTTTTTGTGGACTATGAAGTAAAAGCAGAAGCAGCAAGCTTCGATCAGATAACAAATGCCAACAAAATGGTACCACAATTTCTAGATTCATTGTACCAGCTAAACCCAGCTACCTTCATAGCAGAAATAACTGGTAAGTTAAAAGCTCTCTCATTATTGTCTTTCCACCTTTACTTTAGTATTTCTAGCCTGAACCACATAGCTGCCTTGCACTGTTGATTGTTTGGCACTGGACCTTCAAAATCATATGCTGAGTGTATATTAGTTATGAAGCACCTAGGAGTCTCACAAGATGAAAGGCCGCGTATGGATGTGAGCTAAAATTGCAGTAACACAGGATGGTGTTCTTTCTCTTCCCAGATCACACAAACTTCACTGTGAGTCCTGTGGACATTTTTGAAGGGGATACAGTAAGACTGATCTGTGAGATAAATTCAACATCTCAGAATGTCACCTGGTATCACTTTGATCAGATCATCTCAAACAGCTTCCGGTATTCAATGAAGAGAAGAGTTACAAGGACAGCCTCAAGGTCGATTCTCAACATTTTCAACATTACGAAGAAGGATTATGGTATGATTTTCTATCGTTAAAACAGCAGATGTAAATCTCTAGCATGGCTAGTTCTATAAACAGCAAAGAGGAATGCAGTGACTGCATTTTCCTAGAGAAAATGTGAAAAATGCACTGTTCCTCATAGTCCTCTTGTGTTTTTTTTCTTTAATGAATTATATGCTGACTGGTATAGCCAGTAAGATGTGAACTGACTGAGGTGGCTATACAAGCCTGGGTATTCTTGGAGAGTAGTGTAGGGGAAAGGGACCTGGGGGTCCTGGTGGACAGCAGGATGACCATGAGCCAGCACTGTGCCCTTGTGGCCAAGAAGGCCAATGGCATCCTGGGGTGTATCAGGAGGGGGGTGGTGAGTAGGTCGAGAGAGGTTCTCCTCCCCCTCTACTCTGCCCTGGTGAGACCGCATCTGAAATACTGTGTCCAGTTCTGGGCCCCTCAGTTCAAGAAGGACAGGGAACTGCTGGAGAGAGTCCAGCGTAGGGCTACAAAGATGATCAAGGGAGTGGAGCATCTCCCTTATGAGGAGCAGCTGAGGGAGCTGGGTCTCTTTAGTTTGCAGAAGAGGAGACTGAGGGGAGACCTCATTCATGTTTATAAATATTTAAAGGGTGAGTGTCACGAGGATGGAGCCAGGCTCTTCTTGGTGACAAACAATGATAGGACAAGAGGTAACGGACACAAGCTGGAACACAGGAGGTTCCACTTAAATTTGAGAAGAAACTTCTTCTCAGTGAGGGTGACAGAGCCCTGGACCAGGCTGCCCAGAGAGGCTGTGGAGTCTCCTTCTCTGGAGACATTCAAAACCCACCTGGACGCCTTCCTGTGCAACCTCATCTAGGTGTTCCTGCTCAGGCAGGGGGATTGGACTGGATGATCTTTTGAGGTCCCTTCCAATCCCTAACGTTCTGTGATTCTGTGATTCTGTGATTCTTAGTGCCAGGCTTCACTGCCGTACCACAGGAGACAGCAATGACTACATGTCTGTGAGGTCTTCCCACCCTTTCAGTGTGGTAAATTAAGGCTGTGGTTGAATTTGTCCTTGATGGCCCTTTCCTCCCTTTCTAAACACAACCTAACTAATCAGAGCTCGGAGTTACAGTTTTTCATGTGTTCATGTTTATGGCTTTTTGGAAACCAGAAACAGGTAAATTGGTGGTGCTGGGAGGAGTTATCAGGGGAATTATCATGTGTTATCACAGCTTTGACTCAAGCTCCAACTCAGTTCTTCTCTTTAGACCATGAGTTTTACATTCAACTTCAAAAAGGGTAGTCTGTGACCAGGTATTTGGGCACACATCCAGAAGATAGGAGTCATGGGTCCAAACTTATTCGGGCTAAGGACTCCCTGAACCTCTGTGTCTTCACTCTTATGGAAGTGGCCTACTCACTTGGATATCCCAATGAGGAAGGGGAACCCATGTGCTTAAAGTACAAAGAAAGTTTGGAGCTCTGATTACCTATTTCAAAAAGAAGCCTGGCTGCATCCAGAGGTCAAGTGCCTGAGAAAGTGTTTGATAAATATTCGGGTCTCTTTGGCAATACCTCCTGAGCAGTCTATGTGCCCACACACTCAGAGACTCAGCTCTTGTGGAGTCCACCCTGAGCACCAATCTCTCACCCATTCTGCGTAGGAACACTTTGCACAGTCAGTCTACATTTTTGCCATGACATATTGCTGCCACTTGGACTATGGGCAATATACAGATCCCAAAAACACCAACTCAGCCAGATTTTAAGTATTTCAGTCCCAGAGTGCTGGTCTCCTCTCAAGTACCCGTCAACAGTGAAGCTGCCTAGTCTGGATATATTTGGTGACAGGAGTCTGCAGAGAGCATATTGCAGATGACCTGAGGGTTTATTTTGATTTGCAAGTAGCAGAGCCACTGCAGAGCAGTGAGATGTGAAAACTGGGTGTAGAAGTAGCTCCCAGCTCCTAACTCCAAAAGTAGAGTTAAAAACAGAAAAATGTGTTCTGAGTGCTAATATATTGCCTATGCTTTACAGGACCCTACAGCTGCTCTTTCACAAGGAGCAATCAGTTCCACACACTGATATACAAGGCCACAAAAACAATATCAGCCTCTCCGCTATACGTCACTCCAAACTTAAACAGCATCGACATTATATGCAACAGTCCTGAAGTGCAGACAAACAGTCCACTGCTGTCCTGTTGTATTGACAGGCATTTACCATCGCTTACTGGTCACTGGAAAGTAAATGGAGAAATCAATATTACAGGTAAGATAAACAAAATATTGTCTCTCGCCTGCTAGGCTTGTTCATTCTTTAGAGACCTTCGCCTAATTGCCTGTTCCAAAGACCAACTCCTAGGATGAATACAGGGTCTGCTGCAAAGGTGTGTGTGTGGGGGGGGAAGGTCAGTGGATGGACAGCGTGGTACAGACTCCATATGTGCTGTGCAGGTGCCAGTGGGATTCTGGGCATCTCCATGCACTGTGCAGACATTAATCCTCAAAACTGTGCCATCTTGGATGGAAACAGTTTCCTGGACTGGCATCATACTCACTTTTTCCCAAAAGCTTAATTCTACATTCTCAAGTTTTGAGAGCAAGGAAGTGTGATAAACTCTATCTCCAGAATCACTCTTGGGGTATGAAAAGTTTCTGTGTACCACATACCAAGATTTGACAACAAAAAGAGGCAGGAGGTACACTTTGAAACAGCTGCAGCATAGCTAAACACTGACTGGAATAATCTCCCAGGGGAAGTGGTAAATTCCCCTACACTGGTCAGTTTTAAGAGTCAGCTTGACGGGGTGCTGACTCAACTCATTTAAACTATACTTTTACCTTAAGAGGTTGGACTGGATGGTCCTTGTGGTCTCTTCCAACCTGGGATTCTATGATTCTATGATCGAGTCTATGATCTCTCCACCTGTAGTTGTGATAAGCCACATGCCAGTTGAGTCAGTGGCATCCCACAAGGCTGCACTTGTAATAAGAGTTAATGAAGTGCCAAGTAAATATGTTACAAAGAGTTACAAGATAGCATCAACAGAAACTCATAAATCTACGAAACATAAACAGTCTATTGCTTTTTTAATATTTTATGGGTATAGATTAAATGTTTACTGTTAACCGTTTGTTATAAATTTAACTTAGCAGAAAGCAGGACAGCAAAATGAGAGAAAAACCTTCAAAGCTCACATGAACAGTCATTTCCACAGAGGACAGGTATTGGTGAGCAGTGGTGTTGCAGAGAGAGGGGTGATCCTGGCTTGAGCTGTTTCACTCTCGATTTGCTGTGGCCAGGCTTTCCCCCAGGAACTCTGCTCTTGTGCCAGATGCACTTTCAGCTGCAGCTTGGGACAGCTTTAGTGGGGTTTTCTGGGGATTTTTCAGGATTTTTTTATTATCCTGAGGTATCCAAGCAATGCTGTTACTCTCAGTTAGGCTTGTTTTGGCAGTAGGTGCCCAACACTGCTGAGAGCCATCTTCAGGCCTTTGGAAGACCGCTGTGACTGTTGACAGAGTAAAAGAGGTGAATGAACGTCAGCAATGATGAGTTAAAAGCACCATGCTGTGAAAGTTTACATACAAAACCACAGGATTTTCCTTAGCTAGAGTGATTTCTCCTGGTTTCCAGAGCCCAGGTATTTTTAGTCATCCATAGCCCTTCAAGGAGTGCTTATTTCTCTCCAGGAGTCTCCAGCTTCAGTGAAAACTGCACTGAATACAGGCTTAAAATCACTGAATCACTATGTCCACCTGAGAAGTCAGGTTCAGTGACAACATACACATGTGAGCTGCAGACTGGACATGGTGCCAGGAGCAGTCAAAGCATCAGAGTGACGTACCTCCGGACAGGTAAGAGTCAGGTAACAGACCATCAGCTCTTTAATGTGTAGGTGGACTCCGAGGCACGTGTCATTCGCAAGAAAATTATTATAACAAGTGATTCTCAATGATATGACGTTTATCTTGTGTTGTCTCAGCCCATGTAACAATATCTTCGAGTATAAAGTCATCAGTTTCCGAGGGATATGCATTCAACATAACGTGCAAAAGTGATGTGAACAATTACGACGCTGTCAGTTGGAAAATCCAGTCTGGTAGTAACACAAAAACAGTAAACTGTGGTACGTGCATCAAAAATAGCAAATTCCCAGCCACATCTGTGCTCACAGTGAGGACTGCCACACTGGACTGGAGCGGTGAGTGAACATGGTTTGTACTGGCTACAAGGGCAATGAAATCTCTGTGCCAGACTATTTACAGGATCCCTAGCCCTGTGGATTACTGTGAAGCCTGGCCACAGTAAATATAAAATATTATTAAAAATTATATTAAAATATATATATAATCTTTTATACATTATATAAAAGATTATAAAGAATTATAAAAGTTCTAATGTTAACCGCTGGAGGATAGCAAGATGTTACGCTGCCAACACCACTATACTTGTTCAGTTTTGGTGCTCATGACCATACAAAAGCAGAGGAGCACTTCTGTTGACTGAGACATAGTTTTGTGTCTCTTCTTTCAGGCACCTACATCTGCACATTCTCCCAGAAGCATTTGGAGAGCTCTGCCAATCTGACAATCGAGGTTATCTCTTTGCCTCTGAAGCAGAACATCCTGATGGACCCCGTTGAAGCATGCATACGCTGCAAAGTGCAACAAGCCCTTGAGTGCTGCATAAGTGCTAACACCATGGAAGATTACACTGTTACGTTTGTGGTTCAACAAAATGAATTTCAAGTTGGTAAGAAACAAGAAACTTGCAGAATCACTAATTGAAATATACAACCCGCTCCCTGTGTTTTTTTGTTTTCGGTTAGACCTGTGTAACCAAGTCATACTTATTGCTATTATTACAACCCACAAGTACTCCTGAGAGACTAAAAAAGGCAAACGGACTTTTTTATGATGGTTGCCATGCCTGGAGAACATGGCTCAGATTAACAGAAGAGCCACTGAAGCCACTGCTCCAGTGATAAATACGTAATAATAATATGAAAACGTAATGCTTGATTTGCCTTGCTGGGCACTGAGAAGTGAGCATCCTCATCATTAGAAATTGCTGAACTCCTTTTATTTGCTATTGTCTTCCACTCTGCCAGTTTTTATGAACTGAGTATTGAGGAAATATTACTAAAGAAGATCTACTAATTCATTAAAAATTTAGTATAATACATTAAGAATGCAATTCAAGGAACTATTTTCTTCAAGGACAGAGGTAACAGATCTTTAACAGCACAAAAGCCTAGGCTTCTACATCTTCACATTTGGGGCAGTTCTGCAGCTTCAGATGTTTTTATATACTAGGGTTTTCAAGTGGGTTACAAAATGGTTAATTTTTTAAAAAACAATGAAGGCCCACCTAAACCAACTCAGAACACACTCAGGAGTGCAAAATCAGGCTGAAGTGTAAAGCAGGTGGAAACTGAGGGGTCCTTCAGCTGCTAAGGAAAATGCCATGATCTTGGAAGCAATTGAAGTCAGACACAGGCATATCAAAAAGCAATGGGAGTGTGGTATGAATCCTGAGTTCAAATGAACCATACAAGAACAGCAAAAGTGTCCTAGCCTAAATGAAATCCCTGGGATAGAAGCATAAGCAGGAAGAGTATTCTACAAAATGGCTTCTAAAGCAAATTTTGGTTCCAAAAGAGTGTTTGGGCAGGATTTGCTCATACATCAGTATTTGAAAAGGTACTGATCGGGCGGCAGCTGCCAGAAGATCAATAAGTGGGGAGTAAGAGACAGAGATCAGCCTACAGAAAGGGAGTTTTTCCATAAAGGACGTTTTTTTTCCTCTAGGACCCACAGAAAAGAAAGTTTTGCAGAAGTGTTCTGGTGTCCAGTAGCTGATTGACCCCAAATCTGTGTTAACCTATCTTAACTTTTCCACACAGGGAAAAAGAAGAAAGGCAATTACTTTTGCTACATGTACAATTACACAGAAACAGAATGCAAAGAGGAAGAGCTCACAGCATATTGCAGGTTTACAAACCGCATTGGACATAGCGTCATCAGTGAATCTATAAGACTGTTCCTGATACCTGGTAAGCAAACAGTCACTATTTGAAGCTGTTTAACATCAAATTCTAGTATCTTTGCTAAACCAGATGCCACAAATTTATCATTGGTGGCACATTAACAGGAGTGGTTTTTGTTAGCCAAGAATTTTGTCTCCTTTTTTGACAGGAAATGCTGAAATATAGAGGAAAATAGCAATTCTACTGTAATTTTTAAAAAATAAATAGACAAGATGTTTTGTCTCCACTGTATTTGACAGTGTCCCCAGCAAGTTCCCAAGCAGTTACAGTTGAGTCATCTTTTGTCCCTGCTTCCTTCTGGTGCAGCCTGCACCACCAAGCATAGTCTCCTGTGTTGAAATGTGGTCATGCAGCTCCCAGCTTGCACCAACAATTTAGCAAGGGTAAAAGATTGTGGTGCCTTGGAGGAAGTCATCTAGCTCAGGAGGTGAGCCTGTGGGAGAGCAAACCACTCTGAACTCAAGTATGGCACTTTTTTTGTTGTTTAGTTCTGTCCGGGGTTTGGATATTTCAGCTTCTTATTCTGCATTGGAAAGAAAGAAATATTGGACATCCCTATAATGCAGATTATTTTTTTTCCTACAGTGGTGCCTACTGTTGAATCACTCTTTCTGGCCAGATTTCACTCTCTTAGGCTATAAATGTGCAGGCACTTTATTTACTTTAATAAGCAGATATTTACTGATAATGACTAACTCAATCAAAGCCAATTAGCAAGACTCATTATTCATTAAAAAATTGTTGAGACCTCAGTGTCAAAGTTTTAATGAACTTCCTATTAATTAGTGCTACAGCAGCACTGAGTACCTTAGCAGAATATACTTTGTGGGCATTACTGTTCACATAGCAGTCAATATAATCCCACTCCACTCCTATCTAACCATGTCACCTAACAGAAATATCCTAAAACTTTGGCTATTTGTTTGTTGATTTGATTCAGTACTCAAAAACAAGCGGATTTATTCAATTTCTTTTTCAATTCCATGACTTCAAAAATTTGGGAATGCAAGGCATATACAACCTGAAAAGTCATAATTAGTGAAGAGAGCAAGCTGAAATCCTAACTAACTAAAAGACCTGTGAACTTCAGGGGGTCACAGGCTTGATGGGGGCAAATTATTAATCTCTCTGCCTCTTAATTTTTGATCTCTATGTCTTTTTCCCAATACAGATAACAAAGTTTCCTGCTCAGACAGCCTTGGCATTGGAAGCGAAGAGGACATATTAATAAAGCCATGCCAAGTTAAGTCAAACGATACAGAAGATTTTACCCGAGGCAATATAACTTACAGGTGCTCCAACAAATCATGGGTGGTTTCAAAGGATAACTGTCTGTTTGTACCAGTAAACAACCTGCTGACTAGTGCTGAGGTAACGTTTGTGAGTTTTCTAGAGCTTGGGGCAGGGGGTGGGCAAGAAATAGGAAAAATAGCAAAAATTTTTGTTGACTGGTTCTTTGATTAACATAATCTAAAATACATGAAACATTAAAAAGATCAAATATTTCATTAAAACTATCTTTTAAAAGATAAAAAGTATGATTTGCTATATCTACACAAGTCAGTGAAAGAGGCTAGGTCCCCTTCTCTGGCCCAGAGGGCACATGGCACTGCATGACTAACATCCATACACACGAATGCTCCCTCCCCCAGACAAGATGACCTTATTCATAGCACCCAGGGGGAGCGGTGGCCGGCCCAGGGTGTTCCCTGAACCATGCTCAGGCATTGCTTTGGTGAAGGTTGACTGGCACAAGCCCAAAGCAGCTACAGAGCACGCTAACAACAATGTATAGGGACAACTCTGGCCCACTGCCCAAACTCAGCCCCAGGCCCTGTTCAGCTTGCCCTGTCCACCACTACACTTCACAGATAGGTGCTGGGCCTTGGGTTTCAAGCTGAAATTTCGTATCATAGTGTTCTTCACTTCTACACATCATCCAGAGTTACCCATCTCAGCAAGATTAGATGAGAACCATTATCTTACTTTCATCAAATACTTACTGTGTTTATTTTAGTAAATTGGGTACAGCAAGGTCCCAGACAGAGAGATACAGCTACTCGATTATGTGTTTTCTTAAGTTGCTAGATTGCTGCCTCATACAGTTTGGGGCCAGGCCAACTATTGTATCGCTCAAAATTTCCAGGAGCAGTCTGAGAGTTATCACAAAAAAGAAACCACTCTCAATCGGCAGTTAGGTTACCCTGTTCTGGAAGGTCAGAGAGCTGAACACTACCAGCATGGCTCTGTTTATTTTACTGGTATAGAGATAGCCATTATGAAGGACAATCAAGCTCTGGGCCAATTGCACACATGTGATGTACTGTTATCTTCTGTTCCAGTCCTTGGTCAACAGTCCTGAGGCAAAAGCAAACCTACCTAACTACCTTGCAGAGCTTAAGGAAGTAACAGGAAAGGAGCAAAACCTAATAAGCCATTCTTCTGCAAACATAGGTGCAATCGTCACCATTCTGGATATGGTCTCCTCTATCCCAGCAGATGCAGAGGAACCTACTATTCATGTAAGGTTTTATTTTATTTCTTACCTATATTTATAAAGGAGAAGAAGTAGAAAAAAAGGGTTGAAGTAAAGATAGGGATCGAGCAAGGAAAATCAATTAGATATTATAACAAATGAATGGCAAAACATATCTTAAAAACACTTGGAAACCTTGATTGTGAGGTCCAGAGGATAAGTACTGCTCTTCTGAGCAGAAAAGTGCAAAGAAACTTGATGTTTTATACCTGGAGAATACTACATTTAAGAGAGAGAGAAATCAAAGATAACACAAAGACTGAGAAAGAGGGGAAAGAAGGTTGGAAGAAGAAAAAATACTAAGAATATATGAAAAAAAGCCACTCAGCTCCACTTTTGGAAACCTTAACTTGAAAATAGGGCATTCAGAGGGTCAGTATCTGAAGGTTTCACAGGGACTGAGCAAAATATGAAAATGCTGATATTTTTCAAAAGGCAATTATAGGACCAGCCAGAAATTACCATAAGAAACAACAACGATTTGTATGGGATTTCAGTAACTGCATTATTTTGTTGTTGTTCCAGAATTTCCTCTCCACAGTGGACTTGATTGTTGCTGATTCCACAGCTGGAGCTTGGGAAGACCTGAATAAAGAGAAGATACTCAAAAGTTCTTTGTTACTGTATTCAGTGGAAAATTTTTCCCTGAAACTCCAACCAGTTAATAATACCATTCCTCCTGTCTCTGCGAACACCCTTCAGCTACAAGGCATAGTTTTCACAGGAAATAACAACACAGTTTATAATAAGAGCTTCCACACAGAAAACCTTACAGCTAGCGTGCTCATTGATGAAACCGAAATTCAGACTCTAACCCAAAATTCAACCATTGTCAGTGTGATGTACTCAACACTTGGAAATATTTTGCCCCGGAATGAGTATGAGTGTGTGAACGGCTTACTGATATCAACAACTGTGAGCAGCAACAGAAGCCAGAAGTTCGATATTAATATGATCTTTGCAAAGAGAATCTCATCCTTAACCACACCCCAGTGTGTCTTTTGGAACTTCACACTCAACGAGCACAGAGGTGGCTGGGATACTCGTGGTTGCACACCCACAGAGGCAGAAGATAAAGTCCTTTGCTCCTGCAATCACTTGACATCATTCTCCATTCTGATGTCACCTGAGAAATCCTCCTCCCAGATAATAATTGAAGATTATATTACCTATGTCGGCCTGGCCATTTCCATCTTGAGTTTGTTGGTCTGCATTATAATTGAATCCTTAGTCTGGAAATACGTGACAAACAACACAACTTCCTATATGCGCCATGTCTGTATCTTCAACATAGCCACATCACTGCTGATTGCTGACATTTGGTTCATTGTCACTGCCTCCATCAGTGACCAAAAGCAACAGATAAGCAGAGATATCTGTTTTGTGGCCACCTTCTTCATCCATTTATTCTACCTGTGTGTCTTTTTCTGGATGCTCAGCCTGGGCCTCATTCTTTTCTACAGACTGGTCTTCATCTTGCATAACACAAGCAAGACTGCTCAGAAGGCAGTGGCATTCTGTCTGGGATATGGGTGTCCCTTTGTCATTGCAGTCATCACCATCGCTGTCACACTGCCAAGGAACAATTACACTGCAAAGGATGTCTGCTGGCTCAACTGGAATGACAGCAAAGCTCTCTTGGCCTTTGTCATACCTGCCCTGATCATTGTGGCCATGAATTTGTTCATCACAGCAGTAGTAATAATAAAAATACTGAGGCCAACTATTGGGGATAGGTCAAACAGGCAGGAGAGGAACTCTTTGTTTCAAATTGGCAAAAGTGTGGCCATCTTGACACCACTGTTAGGCCTCACCTGGGGATTTGGCTTTGCCACCATCATCAAAGACAGCCATCGAGCTTTCCACATCCTCTTTGCTCTGCTTAATGCTTTGCAGGTGAGTTGCACATATGTATGTTTTTGTTTCCTCTATGACCATTTAACATGTAGTGATATTCTTGCAGTGCTGTGCTTGGAGGAGGTATAAAAACAGCTTGCAAAAGCTCAGGGTTGCCTTCTACATCCTCATTCCCAAAGGAATTTATGGGAAACCCATTCCAGGAATTCAGGAGTATTTCGTATTTTCAGCTGCCTTAACAGGTGTGCCTTTATAGATAAAGCTGACATAAAGATAACTTTTAACTCTGACAGTAGTTTTGAGAAAAAGCTTTTAATTCTTGAAAATTAGGAAAATAATCCTATTATGTTCAAGTGTGAAAGTTTCAGCATGTCTGGTCTCATTTACAGTGTATCTGGAGGCATCATATTAGGATATTGTGGGTTCAGGAAATGGGGGATTATAAAGAACATGAAAGTCACCAAGAATGGCTAAGTAATACCAATAATAAAGAGAAGAACTGACCAAAACACATGTGATTGAGGCTTTTCAGTTAGTATGACTTTCATGGCATATTTAGGTGGCCAGTAGTATGCCAATACAACAGGATTTCTTAAGGACACAATAGTTATGTATACTTCATTTCTTAAGAATGGCATCAAAATTGCATGCTTCAGATGAAAGTCATTTTGCTTTTAAATATTGCGAGCATGCTAGCTTATCCAAGGAGCATAAGCAGGGCTTGTCTTCCTCACACAAAAGTCCCTTCTTCCAAACATGTTTAGTGCTCGCAGACTATCCATGTCACTTATGTAGACCAGATATACACCCAGTTTAAGTAGGCCAGTCCTGGAGAACTCCTACAGCATCAGCAGTTCATTATGTGAGATGCAGTTAGAAAAATGTCCTCTGTCAAAGAGTTCAAGCAGTCAACATGGGCAGTAACTGAAATAATTATGAGGTACTGCAATTAAAAGGTTGGTGTCGTCAAACTGTGTGTCATTATCTGTCTTCTAGGGATTATTCATTTTGGTGTTTGGGACTCTCTGGGACAAGAAGGTAAGAATTCAAACTCTTTCTTATATCATGTGAAAATACTGTTGGAATTTGAACATAATTGCTGTGTTTTCTGATTTTTTTAAAAAATAGATACAAGAAGCCCTGCTGAAGAGGAATTCAATGCCCAAATGGAGTTCACAGCATACAAAGGTTAGAGGTTTGACCTAAGAATGTATTTCAGAGTTGCTGCTGAATAGTCTAACATTCTACAAGTGTGTTCTAAGACAAATGCACTTTTTATTCTGAATTATTTATTAGAACTACTCAGAGAAAGACACTAATAACAAAAATATGAATATAACCCCTTTTTCAAAGTTCATTATTTCACCTATAATTGGGTAAAAAAATGAGAAAGAAGTTGATGGACATTTGCTCGAAGTTCCACAAGAAATAAGACCAGACCATTCAGTGCCTAGGGAAAAAAAACAAAAAAAAGAAGTAATGTTGCAAACAGGTACTGGATCCTTAAGGAACATCCTGGAAAGACTCTCTTCCTTCCACAGAGACTTTCTCTGGCCCAATAACTCTTACACTCCTACCTTCATTGAAGCAGAGCTTGAATGGGCATCTGGAAATGCCTCTGCTCAGGATAGGCATTTGCATTAAAGGGGGGAAACAACTTTCACTACAATCTTCAAAAGAAAAAATAAATTTTGGACAATGCCTCAGGAAAATGACTGCTAAATAATACGATTAGGACAAAAACAGAGACAGTGTTTCTGCTGAACAGAGATACCACAGAATCACAGAAAAGTTGAGGTTGAAAAGAACCTCCGGAGATCATCCAGTCCAAACCCACTGCTCAGAGCAAGGTAAACTAGAGCAGCTTGCTTAGGACACTGTCCTGTCAGGTTTTCAGTATCTCTAAAGCTGGAGAACCCAATAACCCTATGGACACAAAGCTGTGGTGTTTTGCCACCATCAGAATTTTAAAAAATCTTTTTTTATTATTAAATGGAATTTCTTACATTTCAATTTATGCTCCAGAGATGAAGACTCTGAAAAAAAGTGCTCAGTGGCTGTTTGAAAAAGGTAAAACAGGGCTCAGGTGCTGTGAGCTACTGGGCAGCCATGGAGCTACACTGTCTTGTGCCAGCCACATATCTGCTCCCTTGATGCCTTCTGATCTTTAGCGGCTCCTGGTTCCTCTTCCCATTCGTTCTTCACCTTCACACATCTCGTGGCACTGTAAGATTTTCATTCAAAATGCCTAAAAGGAGGCAGAGCTATTTAAGCCACAGCAAAATGCTGGCATGGGGACAGCTGAGCTTAATTAAGTTCAAAAAAGCTATAGCCCGGTTGGAAAGATGCAGAGCAGAACAAGTGCCAAAGAGGTGGGAGGACTGCTGTGCTAGAATGACATGGGAGTGTTAAGCCTGGACAGCTGATGGGGAATGTTGAAGTGATGGATGCTGCTATGAGGCCATGGAGAAAATAGGACATCCAGTTTGATAACTACAGACCAAAACTGACCCTAAGGAGTGGCAGATTCAAAGCAACAAGGGAGATTGAGACCACCTTGCTCCTGGATCTTTTGAATGGTGGAAATTTTCCTTGGTTTTCTTGTGGTTTGCTCCATTTTGTGTAAGCTCAATAGGCCATTGATGGCTGTTAAACACCAAGGCCTTGCCTCTGCCTCCACCTCCAGAAGTCTCTATTCCTCTGACATCCAGAGATGGAAAGAACTTTTTGAAGATCTGCTGCTACGAGCTTTCTTTGCCTAGGACCCACATTGGACAGGAAGCAACTGGGCTAGAGGATCCTTGGCTCCAACCAAGTGCAAATCTCCTTAGGCCATTAAGCAACCACTGCCCATTAGAAAGGCTGGGGAATGGTGTCTCAGTGTTAATAAAGGAGGAAGAGCACAGCAACACCTGCTTTTACAATGAGGCTTGAGAAACCTCTAAAGCAGAACATAGGAGGCCAACCACACAGGGAGTCATAGCCGCAGTGACCCAGGATGAGTCTTACAGCCCTAGGAGAGGGCCAAGAGCTGAGGCTGCAGCCTAATGATCACCTCACAAAGAGCTCTGCTGGCTGAAGATGTGTTTTGGCTACAGAGTTGTTTGTTATCCTCTCCTTCCAAGTGATGCCAAAGGTGTGTTCACCTCTACTTCTGCACAAGAGGTGCCACATTCCCAGGCACAGAATACAGAAAAGTTTCATCCAACAGGAATAAAATATCTCTATCTGGGACGGCTGCGTGAGGATTTGTTCTAACAAATAAATGCTTATTTCAATGTACACTTCTGCATTTATAACCCTTAACCAAAGAAGACACCCCAGGATGGGTAAGGGATTAAAGGCAGGTCATGGTTTAACCCCAGCTGGCAACTAAGCATCACACAGACATTTGCTCACTTCTGCCCTGGTGGGATGGGGGAGCAAATCAGAAGAGCAGAAGTGATAAAACTCTGAGTTCAGATAAAAACAGTTTAATACATAAAGCAAAAGCCATGCACACAAGCAAAAGAAACCAAGGAATTCATTTACTGCTTCCCATTGGCAAGCAGGTGTTCAGCCATCTCCAGGAAGGCAGGGCTCCATCACACGTAACAATTACTTGGGAAGACAAACACTATCGCTCCAAACGTCTCTGCCTTCCTTCTTCTTCCCCCAGCTTCATGTGCTGAGCATGATGCCATACGGTATGGAACATCCCTTTGGTCAGTTTGGGTCAGCTGTTCCAGCTGTGTCCCCTCCCAACTTCTTTATCACCCCCAACCTGCTCACTGGTGGGGTGATGTGAGAGTCAGAAAAGACCTTGACTCTGTGTAAGCACTGCTCAGTAGTAACTAAAACATCTCTGTATTATTAACACTGTTTTCAGCATAAATCCAAAACATAGCCCCATACTAGCTACTATAAAGAAAATTAACTCTATCCCAGCCAAAAACAGCACAAGGCATCAGAATAACCACTGGCATTTGGGATGGAAAAAGAAGATGCTGGTAAATGCTAGCATTCATATATTTATCTGAATAAGGTATATTCAGAAAAGCCTGTAGAGGTATTGCTAAAGAACTGGGAAGCAGACTGAAAAGAACAGCATAATTAAGACAGATTTTTACATAACCTCAGAGGAATTAAGGAGCCCATTAAGGCTGGACTGTCAGTTCAGGGGAGCAGCGTTGGCTCAAATCCCTTCAGCTTCCCCAAGAATCAAAGAATTGCTCAAGTTGGAAAGTACCTCCACAGATCATCTCATATTACCCTCCCACTCAGAGCATGGTCAGCTAGAGCTCAGGGTCATGTCCAGTTGGGTTTCGAGTAGCTCCAAGGATGGAGACTCCACAATCTCTCCGTGCAGCCTTTTCCTGTGTTTGACCAAACTCAGTGAAAAAGTTTCTTTTTAAGTGGGATTTCCTGTATTTCTATTTGTTCCCACCACCTCTTGTCCTTTTGTTGGGCACAGATGAGAAAAGCCTGGCTCTGTCTCCATTCCCACCACTTCCTTTCCTTTCATTGGGCACCATTGAGAAAAGTCTGGCTTTGTCTCTACTCCTTTCCAGTCAGACAGCCCTCAGCATGTCCTGGTGCATGAAATTGTTCCTCCTCGGGGAGAAGGGGACCTTGCATTTCCCTTTGCTGAACTTCATAAGATTCCTGTCAGCCCATTTCTCCTGGTTGTTGAGGTCCCTTCGAATGACAGCAGACTCATCTGACCTATCAGCCACTCATTCCACTTTTATATGCAGACTTGGTCAGAGTGCACTTCTCCCATCTTCTGTATCATTAATGAAGATGTTAAACCAGTATTGGACCCAGTAGTGGCCTCTCTGCATGTCCCCTCCAGGAATGTGCTGAAGGCACAGAAGAAGGCAGCTTGTGTCAGGAAAAGACCGGAAAAACACAGTTTCTGCCTCACGTTACTTCATTTAGGATCCCCAGAACCATCCACCTGGGTTTCTTTTAACGAGTACTCCAAGTATTCTGGCGTTTTCTGCAGGAGGATTACTCTTGGGAATCCAGGTCTGAGAACATTTCCTAATGCACTTTTAAAGTGCATTTCTTCTTTCTGGCTTCAAAATGCCATCTACTGGATGTGGCACTATTCTGACTGTGGAGACTGCTTTTTTCCCAGGAAACTGGAGGAAGACAGGAACAATTGATACAACTATCATTAAGCATGTCGGTTTCTTCATGACATATCCAGCAGAATAAAGCAGAGAGAACAAGTTGTTAAGTCCTGGAATCCAATTCTGAATTCCTTTTCAGACAAAATCTCCTGGGCCAGACACATCCAACCCCAGTTGACACTGTGGAAGCTCCCCCAGGTGGTGGGAATTGGGATATTTCCTTGGCAGTTCTGCTGATAAGGAGTAAATAAACTAAGATCAAAGTCTTTGATCAAGCTTTTTAGATGTGATTAATTTACCTCCTTCTTCTACCACCTTATGATGTAGGTGACAATGGACAAAACTGCCTAATTTCCCCACCGTGGTACAACCTAATAAATGGAGAGGGACTGAACAGAAAATGTTCTGTTTTCCATACGTTTTAACACACCTTTTGGAGAACTCCTATGATATTCTCAATCCACTCCAGAGACGAAAAAGAAACTTCACTGCAGCAGCAAAAAGTTTCTTCCTTCCCATCTGGACTGTAGAGAGCTGTGTTCCAATGCCCTCTAGTGTGTCAAGTTAAATCTGCCTCTGATTATCTCAGGCTATTGGCCTTCAACAACTGTCCCCAAGCATATAAATCTTAGCTTTTCTGGCTACCTTCATGAATATAAGGGACCAGAACTCTGTACTGTCTGATATGACAGACTCTGGAGCCCAAGCCATCTTCCCTTTGCAACAGTTAGAGACACACTGTTTGCGTCCTGTAGTTTCTTTAAAAGTTGATCTCCTTTGTTGCCATCATAAACATGCAAATGGGTGAACCTGGTGTGTCCCAAACACCTACCTTGTCCCTTTGTGAATTGTCTGCTTGTATTACTGAACAACGTTTTACTGTAACCTTTTTTATCCTCCCTCAATATGGCTGCAAAGGAAGTTCTAGTCTTTTGACAAAAAACAATTTTCTCTCTTACAGTCCAGCTCTCTGATCCTGGTGACACCAATGCTTGCTATGAGCTATCCATTTTCAAGAACCTTTAACAACTTATGTGGTAAAACAGGTATGTGATAATAGATCTCTTCTACTAAAGCACAAACAAGGTTTGGCCCGTGTTCTCACTCTTGGGGTCTGTCTGTCCTGCTATCTGTCTATCTATCGATCGATCGATCTATTTATCTATCTATCTATCTCTTCAAAGGTTTTCTGGCAGGCATTCTATGAATGTCACCAATTCAGTTATGACTTGATTTTGCAATAAGTTTCCTGAAACTATGAATAATTTCATTCCTAAATGTGCGATCTTTGCATCCAACCATTGCTCAGAGAAGATGGTGACATCTGGTCAAAGTGGAATATGAAGGAGTTAAATATAGACAAGTAACTGCTTTTTAAGAGTCTGTTTATTAGTCAGATAATGACACAGGACATTGGTCTCCTACTGTGCTACAATAAGTTTACAAGAGTACACTAGTCAAATCCAGAAACCTCCAACCAGAAAAATGAGACTTGCCCACAACTGCCTCCCATGCTGCTGCCACTGGAATTTCCCATATTATTGGCATTCTCTTCCATACTCTGCTCTTGGGCTCTGTGCACCATGGTCTTAGTTTAGAGCCCTGCAGTCACAAGAGGGAGGCAGCTGAGATTCACCTCAAGACTATGTCTTCTAGATGCATCTCCAGGCTCAAGGAAGACCAGTAAGTTCCTCTGTTTGTGTGAGTAAATTACTACCCTATGACATGGTCACCAGTTCAAGCTGACATATCCTGGCTGTGTCATCAAATACTTCGAATTCTGTGGTTGCTGGTTTTGCTGTAATCCAGCTAGTATCAGAGCTGCAGACCAAGTCAAAGCCACCTGGGTCATCAGGACAAGTGTAACTGTTCTTACTTTGCAGTGCCAACGTGTCCCAGGCTATCCGTCCTTATGTCTAACCACTATGCTTTGTTTTGCAGGAAAATACAGAGTGTCGTCTTCAGAACCTTCCACCTCTTCCTCTGAAAACACTTCCAAGGCATATTCCTTGCTTAACTGAGGCACTGCAAATGCTAAATCAGATGACTCTGAAAGGATCTCTGCCCTTTCCAAGACACAAACGAAAAGCACCTGTGAATCGTCAAGAAGTGGACTGCTTTACTTTGATTAAGCTGTGCTTCGGTGCATTCTTCTGGAATAATAATTTCTGGTTAACATGTAAGGCAGGGAAGCTTTGAGAGGTGGAATTTTACAGGGGCTGCCAATCCCAGAAGATATGACAAGATGTTTTAAGCTTGGAAGGATTTCAAGGCCTTCAAGTGCCGGAAAAGACATTGAGAGTGAAGAATTCTCAGCCTTTAAGAGGGTGCTTAGCACTATGCAGTACTGAGCCATGAACTGCAGTGCCATATACAGCTGTTGTCCAGTGGCTTTTATATTCCCTCTATCAGCTCTCTGAAGGAGAGGCCAAAGGCCTGTGCAGACACACAAGTACCTCATAGCTGCTGTCCTGCCCTCAAATTAGAGTCTGGAAAGGCCATAGGGTATAGTGCTCTCCACTTGCTGTTTAAGACTTTCTGGAATCAAAGATTCACAACTAAGAAGGTCCATTTCAGATCTTCACTTTTGACTTTGATAAAATGAATACTGTGATGATTCCTGCGTGGTCTTGTATTAGATGGAAAGTACTGAAAGCTCCATGTGGCACTTTTTTGGAGAAAAGGAAGCTTTATATCCTTAACTATAATTGTCCTTCCCTTGATATGTAATGTGGTAAGACAGAGATGGTTACTGCCCTCTGCCACAGAGGGAACTCCATTTATTTAATGCATAGTAATGTTAAGTATGCAAGGAGTCTCCTGTGTAAAGTCTATATGTTTGGGTCTCAATCACACTTGGAAGGCTCAGAGTCAACTCTGCAGTGCATATAAATTATGTGCCAGGCAGGATGAAAGGTTTTATATAAATTATTTCTCTAATGCTACATTTGTGGAATCAGTTGTTTCCAAGCCTGTATACCTTTAAAGGCAGGACTCCTGTCTAAAGCAGAGGGCTATGAGAGAGTCTGCGTAGTATTTAGAGCACACACAAATGTTACAAAACCTAATGTAAAATGTGATAGATGGAATCATGAAGATTTAGATTTGAGGCCAATATCAAATACTGCTGTCAGGTGGTACAGTCCTATTTGGTTCCTGGGGAATCAGGCCTGTGTTTACCAGTGGTGAATGTGTTCCCAGGACTTAGGGATGAACCAGGATGGGAAACTCTTGCCTGCAGTTACAGGCACGTGTGACAGTTTGGGATGGGCAGGTGGTGATGACTGAGGACAATAAACAAGCATCGGTCAAATGTTTTACTTATATTGAAAGTGATTTCATTTTTGCTTGAAGATGTAGATATAATACTAGAACTAGAACACAGAGATTAAGAAGTATTTCAAGATCTAGAATCTCTTGAGCTGTATGGCCAATGGAAACTTGAAAATCAGACCTTTGCACATTATTCCAAGCAAGATTTGCCATTGGACTGTCATTTGGTCCAACCTACTTTGAAAGTAGTTTGTGCAGTATTGGCCTGCTGCAGAACCATCCACTCCCACTGAGTTGAAATAGGCTTTATATAAATTCTATAATATGAGTCCCTGTAGACAGCACAGTCCTGCCTCACCTTATCTCTGCAGACATTTCATCTCTGAGGTTTCACTACAGCTCTCAGTTTAGCTAAGCCTGGGTCTCAACTGTATGTGAATGAGAAACCAGGATGTGATGCTGAGATACCTGGCACTGAAGGGCCATCGTTGGGTGGATCTTCAAAGGCAAGGTCCTTGCCAGTGTTACAAAAGCCATAATAATTCATGAAAGAGATACACCTATGAAATTAACTGTGCCAGTCTTAAGGACTTGGGGCCAATGCTTCACTTTTTAGCCTTTTCTGTGGGATAAGTAGTGTTAATCCTCCCAGCAGCCTCTTCTTGGGTCACTCCTCCCTTTTCTCCCCTCTGCAGGACAATGAATGGTGCACATCTCAGCATATCAGTTTGTTTCTTATTGAGCAGAAAGGAGGCTTTCCCTTCCGACCCACCTCTTGGTCTTGACGCTGTTGCTGAGCCCTTGGGCCATGCTGCATGGTCACAGACCCATGGCACTCATTTTTCTCCCCTCTGCAGGACAATGAATGGTGCCATCTCAGCATATCGGTTTGTTTTTTATTGAGCAGAAAGGAGGCTTTCCCTTCTGACCCACCTCTTGGTCTTGATGCTGTTGCTGAGCCCTTGGGCCATGCTGCACGGTCACAGACCCATGGCACCCACGGCCGAGGCCCTCACCCACTGCATCCTCAGGACAGGTGGGTAATGGTGGCCTGGGCCCAGCTGCAGTCACCATCAGGGGCATTGGGGTATCTCCTTCACTAATTAAATGGCAAAGCGAGAGTCAGTCCCCGCTCCCAGGGAAAGCGGATGGAGCTACTGCACCCAGGAAAGAAGAGCTGTGGGTGAAAAGTCATTCTGGCACTGCAGTTGCTGGGCCTCTGCTCGTTTACCACCTTCCTCAGGCAGTTTGCTCTGCCCACAGGCCAAATACACCATGATGGCTGTGTCCTGTGCTTTACTCCAATAAAGTGCTCAAGAATCCTGTGGTCTGGGTGTATCTCTGCCCATTTGTCAGACAGTTGAAAAAGTGGAGGTTACACTGCTGGCTTCTTGCAGGTGTCACCTGCTGTGCCACAGGCTGGCCCAGGAAGCCTGCTCCCTTCCCTGGGCGGCAGGCCCCGTACCATGGCTGCAACCTTCCCGGATTGTAAATAAACCTGTCTGTGGGCCGAATGACAGCTTGCAGGATTTTTTCTATGTGTTAACTGGCAGGAACAATCACTCAAAGCAACGCTTTCAGGAGAGAGTCCTGGTTGCCTCCAGCCCAAATCATTTAGCCTGTGCTCTCCCCAGGGCCAAGTGAGCCAGGGTAGCAAGGGAGTCTGTGCATACTCCACACTACAGCGGTGATGGCCGGCCAGCCCTGTAGTGACAGCCCCTGTTTAACTGCATGTCTGCAGCAGCCAGCCACACTGGGAAGCGTAAGGTGTCTTCTTAAGAACAAAAACATATGTGTCCATGAGAACTGTCTAGTTCCATTCCCAGCTTTGGACAAGGGAACAACCACACAACAGCCAGCCCACAATGATTCTCTGAAGTGTTAGAAAGAGGCTCCATTTCTTACACCAACAAAGGATCTGGCAGTGGAGTGGGGGAGCAGAGATCTATGGGGTTGTTTGCAAGCACCTGTCATTTGGATGAAGTCTGAAATGCATCAGCAATCATTGTGGAAATATTTTCTAATCTTACCCCATAGAACCTAGGCTGCAGATGCTGTTTTGCCCTGGCTAAGTGAAGGAGGCAGGTTCACACCCTTAAATGATGCCATTGCTGACTAGAAAACCCACAAGACATAGGACAGGCACCTTGCTTGAGAATAACTGCTGTGACAGCTCTTTCTATAGAACACCTAAGCTTGGGGCTGGGAGCTGGCAAAGCTACACTTGCTTCTATGCTCATGCAGCTGAGCGGTGCCTTTCACACCTCTTCCCTGTATTCGAGAGCTACAAGCAATGGTGGCACCGCGTGGTGGCACCAAAGATCTTCTGTAGGTTACATGGATCTTTAGAAGGATGTGGTATCTGCCTTCCCCATGACTCAGGTCTCCAGTCTCCATTACCTTGGACCACTGTTGCTTCCAGTTCAGTGTTGTGAGGTAGAATAGATGGATAAGGGAAGGAAGATAACAGCAGCTGAAACCCCATGCTAGGGTTGTAGGTCTGTAACCCAACTCCACCACTCATACAAGCCTGGAACACACAAGCAAGACTGACGTTCTGCACTGAAAGCCTGTGGGTGGACGTTAGAGTGAAAGGAGTTTGTCATGCCACAATGGAATTCCCATGTCTCTTGGAAATGGTGCAAGTTAAGCAAAGGACAACTGGAAACACAGTTCTTTGCTTTTAGGAAAATAAATCCCCTAGATGCAAGTTTGAATAGGAAACAAAGACCTACACATGCTTTGGCCTCAAGTAAAAATAATCAACACTTCAGCTACTGTTTATATTTGCACACAAAGTATTTTTTTTCCTTTATACAACACAAGTATAAATAAGTCTGATCTACAGTTTCCAAAAAATACTTCTCTAGAGAAACTTCAGAGAGCAGGTCAGGTTTACTGTAATCCTCCTCCTGGAGGATCACTGTTAGGGGGCCTTCCTATAACTGACCTGTTATTCAGAAGTACAGATCAAACACAGTCTCAGGCTAGAAACTACAATTAATTGATGCTTCTGGGCAACTTCAGTCTTCCTCTTCACACACTCCTACCCCTCTCCTTGATGTGTGACATGATGATTTCCAAAGAGATATGAATTTAATGGTAACCACTTCAGATCCTATCCTATGATAACTGACCATGTCCTCCAGTTTTATCCCGAGCCTACTGAAATCATGAGAGTTTAATACAAGTTTAAAAAAACCTTGGATTATGCCCAGAGAGTAGATTTACACTTGAATATTTGAAAACTTTATGTGATTATGCCTTCTAAAAAGACAACTAACTTTAATGTGAAATTATTTCCCTGCTAGAGAATTGTCCAAAAATATATAATAGTAGTTCACTATGAATTCTACGTAATAGCTAATCAGCTTTTGTAAACCAGCACAGCTCCATGGCAAATGAGTGTTGATGTACCGATTCAAGTAACTATGGATTTGTACACTTTAGGTTTCTTGAATAATTTCTATAGGAACGTTTCTAGGATCTTAACATAAGTGCTTCTGTATGACTTTTTTCCGTGTTTTGAGAGGTTTTATCAGTTATTTAATATAAGTTTGAACTGTGGTTGGGAGTAAATGCATGGACTCTCAGCACTACTGCTTGCTGTTGGATGAAGAAATGAAACATTCAAAGAATACACAAGAGAGGCAGGCTATGAGCTTTCATTGGACAGCAGTTCCACATGATGTTCTTTAACTTCCAGGACCTACAGAGTAAACAGATTACTGCCAAGATGTTGGTAGAC